CGGCAGGAGGCGAGGCAGAGGAACCGGTGCTGAGCAGAGACGAGGACTCAGAGGAAGACGCAGACTCCGAGGCGGAGCGCGAGGCGCGGCGGGTCACGGCCGTGGCGGTGATGGCGGCGGAGCCCGCGCACATGGACATGGGCACCGAGGCCCTGCCTGGGCCCGACGAGGCCGCCGCTGCCGCCGCCGCCTTCGCAGGCAAGTGGGTCACCGCGCACCTGCCCGCTTGCACCTGTCCCACATGCGCTTCACCAAGCACCTGCACTGGCCACCTGTGGTGCACGCCTGCTTGTCCCTCGCACCTGTCCCGCATGCAGCGCACACTTGCCCCACATGCATCACACACCTGTTCTGCATGTACCACACCTGCCCTGCATGCACTTGTTTTTCACACTTGTACACCTTTTGTGCCTACCCTGCGTACCTGTTCCATACACCTGACCCTCATACCTGCCTTGCACCAGCTCCATCCATTTGCCCCACACCTACTCCAGGCCCACACCTGTCCCACACGCCTGCCCCACACGTGCTCCACGTGCCTGCCTCATACCTGTCCCTCATATTTGCACCACAAACTGGCCCTGTACTGCACACCTGCCCCACACATCTGTCCCACACCAACCTCGCGTCTGCACCCCGCCTGTCCCGCATATTTGCTCCATACCTGTCTTGTATACCTACCCCTACACCTGTGCCGTATACTTGTTCCACACACCTGCACAGGCAACCACTTGGCTCCCACCTGCCCTGTGCCCCTGCCCGTGCTCGCACACCTGCCTTGTACCCGCCCCATTCTGGTGGCTGGCCCTGCTGTGCATGTGTGCTCCCTCATGCAGTGCTGCCCTCTGCTGCTCTTCTTTCTGGACCCCTTCGGGACCCCTCTCACCTCGCACCCTCCCTGTCTGCTCTTTCATCCTGAAAGCTGGTGGGCTAGGAGTGTCAGATGTGGACCCTACCCCAAGGAACTCACATGGGGGGCGGTTGCCTGAACAACCTGTGTGCCAACGCTGGGAGCAGGGGTATCCCCTGTCAGGCTGGCTGCTCCTTGGTCACTTGCCCCTTGGGGCTCTCCCTTCCCTGCTTCTGTCACTCCTAATTTCTCCGCACAACTCAGGATTCCTGGCCCTGGAAACCAGGCTGTGGTGGGGCGCCCTGTGGAGGTGCCCAGGTCCCTTCTCAAGTGCCACGCCCCTTCCTAGCTGTGGCTCCCAGGTGTGCACACATGCTGGGAGGAACATTGTTTTGCTGTCTCGTTGCATACTGAGCTTTTTCCTGTAGGAGCCTTGCAGGCTTTGAGCCAGCAGTGTGAGGAACCTCAGAGTACCTGCTGGTGGAGAACGGAGGCATCACAGTGCCCTTAGTGCTGTTTTCATCCATGGACTCTGGCACGATGTTGGGATTTTGGACCATGAGGTTTTTGTCATTTGTGGCACTTATTTTTCTAGGTGCAGAAAACAAATAGTATACTGCCTATTCTCACATGAGAAAAATCTGTGTTGTACGTTTTTTTTCTTCAGATTCTTTTTTTTTTTTTTTTTTTGAATGCTGGGACTAGGACTCAGGCCTTCTGCATGCTGGTAAGCATGTTGCCACTTGACTGCATTCCAGCCTTTCTGCAGATTTTTTTTTCCTGTTTTTTTGAGACAAGGTCTTGCTGTGTAGTTTAGACAGACCTTGACCTCACTATATAGCCCAGACTGGCCTCAAACTCATGGTGATCCTCCTGCCTTAGCCCAAACCTCCAAAGTGCTGAGATTCCAGGCATGCATACGGAATTTTATAGTTGTGCTTTCAATTTTTTTGTTACAAATTACTGTGGTCAGGTCACTAACTGATGTGGCAGGGCAGGCCACTCTCTTGAGGCTACCTTGGGTGCATAGCTGCTTGAGCTGTCTTCAGACCTGGGTGTAGACCCAGCTCTGAGGTGGAGCTGTGGGCTGTGCTGGCTTGAGGGCAAGGTTGAGGCAGCTGCATGTGGTTGGTGTCAGGTGGTCAGTGTGGGGTTTCCAGCCAGTGTCTGCAAGCACCTGGCTGTGCCAGACTGTCCCAAAATGAACATTCTGAAGTGCTGGGTGACAGAGGTGACCTTTTGCTCTTGCAGAGGTGAGGAGGGCAGTGCAAAGGGCAGTGGTGGTAGGGGCCTGTGGGGAGGAGGTAGGAACCACCAGCCCACCTGATAACAGTGTAGCAGGGTTTAGCCGGCTGTTAGGGAGCCACTGCGTGCTCTCTGGGGAGCATCTGTGCACGCTGAGGGCCGCAGTCCGTGTAGCCCGGCTGGGGTGTGCCGGTGGGACACATTTCTCAGGAGGCAGATTGAAGGGGAAGATGGGGGGCTGCACATGGGGTGGTGGGCCGAGGGCTGTGGTCACCTTTGGGGGTGGCCAGGCGGTGGCAGCAGAGGGGTTAGGAGCAACAGGTGGGGTTGACCCAGCTCTGTAAGTGGCACCAGTGTTCCTGTGGTGGCTGCAGGCCAAGGCCTTGTGGGTGATCTAGGGACTCAACCTTTTCCCAGCCAAGAGAGACGCTGACGCCCAGTGGTCAGTGGTGGCTCTATACAAGGGGGTGGTTCACGGTGGATGGTGCTGCATGTAAAAGGCTTTGTCAGGTAAATGGTGAAAGAATCTGTTGAAAGGTAAAATAGGTAAAACTCTTGAAGACATAGGTGTAGGCAAACACTTTCTGAACAGAGTCCTGATAGTGAAAAACAGCACCAAGAATCAACAAAGGAGATTATATCACATTGAAAAGCTTTTGCACAACAAAGGAAACTACCCCAGAGAAGAGAATCTACAGAACGGGAAAAACATTTACCAGCTGTTCCTCAGAGGACTAATATCTAGCACATACAAATAACTCAAAAAATTAGACTCCCCAAAATAAAAGACCCAATCAAAAAATAGACAAGTAAAATAGTTCTAAGAGAAGTACAAATAGTACAGATAAATACATTTTTTAAAATTCAACACCTGTGGCCATTAGAGAAGTGCAAATTAAAATAACATTAAGATTCCATCTTACTCTAGAAAGAATGGCTATCATCAAGAAATAAAGTAACACAGGCCAGGCATGGTGGTGTGTGCTGTAATCCCAGCACTCAGGAGGCAGAGGCAGGAGGATCACCTTAAGTTCAAGGCCAGCCTGGCCTGCATAGTGAGGTTAAAGCTAGCCTGTACTGTGTAGCAGGGTCCTGTCTCAAAAAACAAAATAAATAAATGAATAAAATAAAATAAAATAGTGAATGCTGGGGAGGATGCAGAAAAAAGGAATCCCTATACACTATTGGTGGAGGGGGAAGTGAAGTAGTAGATCACTGTGGAAATCAGTCTAGTGATGCCTTAAGAAACTGAAATTAGACTATGTGTTTTAGGCACACGCCTAAAATTCCAAGAAGTTGAAGTGCGAAGCTGAAGCAGGAGGAGCTCCCCAAGTTTGAGATCAGCCTGGGGTCCATAGTGAGTTCAAGGCCAGTCTGGACTGCATTGTAAGACCTTGTCTAAAAATAAAAATAAAGAGCAGGGCATAGTGGCACATGCCTATAATCCCAGCACTCAGGAGGCTGAGGCAGGAGGATCGTTGCAAGTTCAAGGGCAGCCTGGGCTACAAAGTGAGCTCAAGGCCAGCCTGAGCTGCATAGCGAGACCCTGTCTCAAAAAAACAAAAAATAAAGTAAAATAAAATAATAAAAATTAAAATAAAAAAATTCCCCAAAATTAGAAATTCCATTCAACCTAACTTTTTCCCTTTTAGGTATCTTTCCAAAGAGTTAAAGACATCATAGTATCATATTATAGTGATCCATGCCCACCCCCATTTATAGCAGCATAATTCATAGGAGCTAACTGTTAGAAACAGCCTATAATGTCCAGCAAATGAATGGATAAAGACAGTGTGGTGTTTATATAGAGTGGAGCACTACTGTGCCATGAAGAGTTACACACTTGGGTCATGTGTAGGAAAATAGATGTATCTTGAGACTGTAATGTTAAATTGAACAATCAGACACACAAGCTTAGATATTGTATGGTTTCTCTTATGTGAGAAACACAAAAGTATAGGCTGGGCATGATGACACAGACCTGTAGTCTCAGCACTTAGGAGGCTGAGGCAGGAGGATCGTTGGGAGTTTGAGACCAGCCTGGGCTACAAAGTGAGCTCAAGGCCAGCCTGAACTGCATGGCAAGACCCTGTCTTAAAAAGACAAAAAAAAAAGAAAAAAGAAACACGAAGTATAAATAAAGAACAAGATGAAAGATAGATAATAGGAAGTAGGGAGATCTTTCTCAAAAAGGAAGAGAACCAGGAGATGTGGGGAGTGAAAAAAATTGAGATGTGTTGTGTACAGGCACCAACTCCCACGAGGGACGTGCATATCACATAGTACAGACGTGGACTCATATGTAATAGCTGAGAGATAAGTCAGAGCCTTTATCAGGAAAGATGTTCCAGGAGCAGTGGGAGATTGAGATGGGCTGGAGAGGTCAGCTGCGCACTGCCGTGGAAGCAGAGTGCAAAGGTCTCGCTGGGGACCGCGTGGAGCCCCTGCTGGGCTCTGCTGTGAAGCTGTCAGTGTTCATCGCGGACACCGGTTGCGTGTACAGTCAGGTTCCTTCTGTTGCAGAAGTGACCACTGTGACGGTAGCCAATATGGGGGCCTCTGCAGACAATGTCTTCACGACGTCGGTGGCGAACGCTGCATCCATCTCAGGACACGTCCTGGTGAGCGGCTAGTGGGTGGGGCGGGGTGGGGTGGCACTGCACTTGCTGCCCGAGCAGGGGACTCCTGCTCCCGCATCCTCCCAGGCCATCATTGGTGTTCTGGTCTGGAGCCTCTTCCAGTTCCGTCTCACCAGCCTCTTTCCACGGGGAGCTGCCAGAGCTGGGGACAGTTTTTAGGAGCCTGGTGACCTTGTGGCCGGACAGGGGCAGGAGAGGCTGCACTGAGGCACATGTATGTGCTTCGGCTGGGCTCAGACCTGGGCTTGGCCCTTCCTTCGTTCGGCTTTGTTTTAAGCCTCTCAGGGACGTCTCTGGGGTGGATGTGGGATGACCGTGTCATGTCCCCTAGCTGGTGACAGGTGGTGAGAGCCTTTGTAAGGCCGTGTCCTGCCGAGGTAGGTGGTGTGCCTGTGGCTGTCCTCGTGGCTGACCCCATGGATGTGTCCTCTCGCCTAGTCTGGCAGGACCGCACTGCAGATTGGGGACAGCCTGAACACCGAGAAGGCCACGCTGATTGTTGTCCATACAGATGGGAGCATTGTGGAGACCACCGGCCTGAAGGGTCCAGCAGCCCCTCTCACCCCAGGTACCTGTGCCCCACTCCACAGCCCCTGGAGTTCATTTCTGTGGTAAATTTGGAATACCAGACAGCAGATCTGAGTGGAAAAGACAGAATTATCCAGCTAGAAAAGAGTGCCTTGCTGGTCTCGTCCTCACAGCCCCTCTTTGCCCCAGGCCCTCAGTCCCCTCCGACCCCGCTGGCTCCTGGCCCGGAAAAAGGAGCCACCAAGTACAACTGGGACCCGTCGGTGTATGACAGCGAGCTGCCTGTGCGCTGCCGGAACATCAGTGGCACGCTTTACAAAAGCAGGCTGGGCTCAGGTGAGGCCACCCTGCCTGTCTCAGGTGACCCTGTCGGGAAGCTAGGGCCAGGGCTGTGTACTGTGCAGTCCCTATGACCAGGGCCCAGGCCACCGAGGGCATGAGAAGGGTCAGGCCTTTCTTGATTGGGCCCAGTGATCTGGGCAGGTTGGGTTTGGGAGAGCCCACTGCTCACATGGCCTAGTCAGCTTGTGACTTGGGGCAGACACTCAGGGGTGTGGCAGAGCTTGCGCTGACCACAGGCCAGAGTGGAGGGGTCAGATGGGTAATCTAGGCACAGCCGGAAAGGAAACTTGGGTGGAAATTTGCCTTGGGTAGTCTTCAGGGTGACCATGGAGTCACACAGCAGGCAGGAGGTGGAGGAAGGAGTGAAAGACGGCCTGTGGGGGTGTGTGCGTCCTGGTGATGGCCACCTTTGCCTCAGGGGGCCGGGGGCGCTGCATTAAGCAGGGGGAGAACTGGTACAGCCCAACGGAGTTTGAGGCCATGGCAGGAAGAGCCAGCAGCAAGGACTGGAAAAGAAGCATCCGTTACGCGGGCCGGCCGCTGCAGTGCCTCATCCAGGTATGCACCATGCTGGGCTGCACAGCAGGGCCTGTCTCAGGGACCAGAGGCCAGGCCGGGCCCAGGGGCAGGAGGTGCATGGGCCTGGCCCTCTGGGACCTGGCTCTGCTTGCTCTGTCACCATGGCCATGGTACCTGCACCCTCAGGTTTCCATGGGACAGTGCTGGTGTTGCCTGCAGGGTCACGGGGTGTGCAAGAGGTAGTGGTCAGCACAGACACAGGAAGAGCACAAGTGGAAGCCAGGCATGGTGGCACACATTGTAACCCCTGGCCTCTGAGAGGCTGAGGCAGGAGAATGGGAAGTTCAAGCCCAGAGCTGGCAATTTAGCCACTTAGACCTGGACCCAAAACAAAAAGTAAAAGGGTGTGGCGATATAGCTCAGAGTGAAGGCCCTGAGTTTAATCCTCGGTACTGCCAAAAAGATAAAAAAAAATTCAAGAGGAAGTCAGGACACTAGCTCCTAGCAGGGGGCTGCAGCTGTGGCACCCGCTGCTGCTTCCCGAGAGAAGGGGCCTGAGCCCAGCCTGGCTGGGGAACAGCGTCCTAGAGCCTTTCCTGCCCCCTCCAGCGAGGGCGCTGTGCAGCCCAGAGTTTCTGGAAGTGACCCTTGTCCTTTGTGAGTAGTGGGGAGGTACCAGGCCTTAGTGGTCTCAGGTTGGGTGGCATGTTTTCAGCTGCTTTCACTATGCAGCACTTTCTGCCTTGTAGGATGGGATCTTGAACCCCCATGCAGCCTCTTGCACCTGCGCAGCCTGCTGTGATGACATGACCCTGGTGAGTCCCAGGCACACATGGCCTGGCCCACCCACCTCCCACCCTCTTCCCACACACCTTTGGCCTGGGTGTCCTCCTGTTCCTACTGCCTGAGCGGGCAAGCTGCAGGGTGGCCAGGAAGGTCACAGCAAGCCTGCCACACAGAGGGCTCTGTGCTGCCTCCATGCCAGCCCAGGAGCCGACTCACACCCTTTAAATGATCATAAAAGTATGTGTGCCGCTTCACATCCTGTACTTTTAACATGAGTAATCTTAGTTACTTTCTCCTTGCTGAGACATAGTGCACAATACCCAAAACTGCAAGGAAGATAGCTGGCTGCAAGGCAGGGTGGTATGGCAGGGAAAACAGCTCTTGGCGTGGCAGGCAGGAATTGGAGAGCGATCAAGGGAGGGGGAGGGAGGTAGAGCTTCTGGCCACACCCCCAGTGACCCCCTCCTCCAACCACGCTTCCCCTCCCAACATCACATTTAGCTGTGAGCTCATCAGTGGACTCATCCACCTCCTAAAAGCCCCACCAACGTGCATGTGAGGCTTTAGGGGGCGTCTAGGTCTAAACCCTAACACTGTCATAGCAGTAAGAATTCACCGCACTTGTGGGTAAGGCTATTGATGTCCTTGGAGCATCTCCTTGTCCTACACACCTATCTGTTTCAGAAGAGACCAAGATCTTCTTTGTTGGCTTTTATATCTGTTGCTGTGTAGCTTTCACAAGTGAGATACAATTTCTAAGTATGACCTTACTAGTTTCACTGGTTTCTTTATGATTAATATGTGCTATTTTAAAACATCTTGAAAGTAATTTAAAGCCAGGCCTAAGGCATATGTCTATCATCCCAGTATCTAAGCGGCTAAAGCAGGCAGCTCATAAGTTCAAGCCCATCATGGGCAAGTGAACAACTGAGCAAGACTCTACCTCAAAAAATAAAAAGGCTGGGGATATAGGTCAGTGTGAACGCCCTGGGCTCAATCTCTACCCCTGGAAAAAAACAGAAAGTTTAACTGGCGGACATAGTATTTTCTTGCGGCAAAACACCAAATATTTTTTAATTGTCTAGTTTATGTGTAAATTGAATGTGAATGTGCTGGGAAAATTAACCTTATGAAAATAACATGATTTTAGAGTTCATTTGGAAAAACTAATAGAAGGGCCAGTGTGGTAGCTCACATCTGTAATCTTAGCACTCGGGCAGCTGAGGCAGGAGGATCGCTGTGAGTCTGAGGCCAGACTGAACTACAAAGTGAGACCCTGTCTCAAAAAAACCAAATAACTAACCAGATGAGAGAAATCCCAGTGGATGGAAGCAGGGGTCTTGAGTGGTAAGGAGCAGTGAAGGGTGAGAGGGAATTGGGAACGTGTGGCAGAATCATCCGCAGTTGCTCTGAGCTCTGGAAACCCTCAGCTGTGAGTCTGAGAAAAGGTGCAGAGAAAGGAGCCAGAGAAGACCTGGCTGCTCGAGGAGACCAAGTCCACAGACCGAGAGCTCCACGGGCCGAGGGAGTTCATCTTCGGAATCCCATCGGAGCCTTAACAGAATTACTGTCAAAATCCTAGAGGTTAAAAGACACCCACCAGAATTCTTGTAGATTTTGCCAAGCTGATCCTGTGACTTATATGGAGAGGGAAAGGAACTAAAATGGTCTACACTCAGCAGAACCCTCCTGCAGGGTTAAGACCTTCTGTGTGGTCACAGCAGTCAGCGGTGTATGCAGGCTCACTGCAGACTTGCTGGGTCCCTTGCTGGGGCCGCTGGACGGTCACGTGCAAGGACGAGCTTTGGCCCAGGTGCTGTCAGCCTGGCCGCAGCAAGGGCCAAGCCCAGTGTAACCAGAGCACACTCTGTGGGAGCGCTGGGGTTTTGTGGGGTCGGGAGGCCAGCCTTAGGGACTGAGAGCTCCAGAGTCTTCCACCAGGGGCTGACTGAGGCCAGGCGGGCACTGCCAGGAGGGGCTGGCCTTCCTGGGCAGGAGCTGGCTTTGGCTTCTGCCACCTCTGCGAGGAACCCTTGGTTAACTCCCCGGACAGGGACTGTGGGCGTTAATGCCCCAGGGCTGCTTGAAAGTGGTGCAGCCTGGCTTCACAGAGAGGCCAGGGACAGAGGCCAAGACAGGCCTACGCGTTGGTGACCATGGTGCCCAGCCTGCACCCCACAGGGCATGAGACTTCAGCAGGAAGTTAGCAGGGCCCTGTGCCAGAAGCTCTGGGGACACAGGAGTCTGTGCCCACAGCTGTCGCCACATGTCCCCTGGAGCATCCAGTTCTCAGCAGAGATGTAAGTCAGGCAGAGAGGCAGGCAGGTGTGGGCGGCTGCGGCCTGGCCGGGCTGGGGACATGCGGGCCAGCACCACAGGGAGAGATGGAGGAGCCGCTGGGAAGAGAGGCAGGCTTGGTGATGGTGCATCTGAAGGGAGGGGATCAACAAAGAGAAGTTAGAAGGGAAGGAGCCAGGCAGGGTGGCGCATGCCTGTAACCCCAGCTGACCCCTCCTAACCCCTCAGGAGACTGGCTGCGGCAGGACCATCCCAAGGTTGAGGCCGCCTTGGGCTGCCTGCAGAGACGCTGTTTTAAACACTGACTTGTGTCTGCCCTACACAGTGCTGGGCTGGGGGGAGTCTTCGTCTTCCTAGCTCTGGGAAGGGGTAGTCCCTCAGGTGATACCGTGGGGGATCCCCGTGACTCTGGCCGTTTCTTTTTGCTGTTGCTGGCCTGGTTGGACTCTTCCCTTACATCTGGGTCCCCAGTCCCGCTTCCTGAGCTCGGGGCTTGCTGACAGAGTTTGGGCTGGCTCCTTTCCCCGCTGTGGTTTTCCTTGTCCTCTGCTTGGTCTGGCTTACTTTCTTGTAGGAGCCCCTGAGATGCCAGCTCCCAGCATGCTGTTGGCTGTGGTGGTGTTGGTACTGTGCTTGTCTCTTCCTATGGAGAGTGCAGAAGCAACTTCCTCCCGGCTGTACTGAGAGCCCCCTCCACTCTCTGCAAACTCACCTGTGCTGAACGCTTGGTCCCACTTTGGGTCTTGGCCCCCTTTCTGCCCCTGAGTTCTGTACGCCTCAACTCTGCCCACCTCCTGCAGAGCGGCCCGGTCCGACTCTTCGTGCCCTACAAGAGGCGAAAGAAGGAAAATGAGCTGCCCACACCACCGCTGAAAAAGGACTCTCCCAAGAACATCACGCTGCTCCCGGCCACCGCTGCCACCACCTGTGAGTTGAGGGGATCTGTTGTGCTTGCTTTGCCTGCCCTGACATGGGGCCTCGTTCCCTGCGCTGCCACCTTACCATGACGCTGGGCGTGGTCTGGTTCCCAGAGCTGAGCATGGCACTGGGAGAGGGCGCCCTCCGGGGCAGTTTTCTGGGTCCCCAGTGCGTGTCTGGTGAGGGCTGTGCAGGCCCCTTTCACCAGAGGCTCTCCCATCGGGCAGCCACTGGTGTGGACACTTTCCGAGTGAAGGCTTTCATTTTAGTTTTAGTTGTTTTTTTTTCCCTGGTACTCGGGATCCAGCCCTTTGGTAGTTTATTTTGAGACAGACTCTTGCTGGGTTTCCCAGGCTGTGCCTGAATTTTCCATCTTCCTGCCTCAACCTCCTGAGTAGCTGGGATTACAGGTGTGAGTCACCATGTTCTTTGGCTCTAGTGACTTTCATTGTGCTGTCCTGCTACGTGTGCTCTGACCAGTCTTCCTGGGAGAAAGGCGGGTGCTGGGGCCTCATTCATGACTCAGTCTTTCCCTGGCCGACTCCTCCTGCCATCTACCCGAGGGGCTGTCTGCAGGGCACTGAGTGTGTGGCCGGATCAGGAATCACAGATGGGTGCTGAGACACCTGGCTGCGTTTGTCTTCAGTGTCAAAGGAAGGCTTTTTACTTCAGACTACAAAACCTTTTCCAGATTATTTTACATTTCTGTTTTCTGGCTGAGCAGCGCATCTGCTTGGTCCCCAGCCCGACTCCACAGCACGGCTCTGTCCCTGCAGGCCGAGGTCCCTGGTCTTGCCGTATCCCCACACATTGCCTGCTTTGGCCAGTCCCTGGGGTTTGCCCGACACCTGTGTCCGTGACGCCTGTGTCTACCCAGCTTGCATGAGCTGTGCTCTGCCTTTCCAGTCACTGTGACACCCTCGGGGCAGATCACCACGTCTGGGGCTCTGACTTTTGACCGCGCATCCACTGTGGAGGCCACTGCCGTCATCTCAGAGAGCCCAGCCCAGGGTGATGTCTTCACGGGAGCCACAGGTGAGCTTCTCCAGGGACTGTCCCTGCCCCTGTCCCGTGGCCCAGCATCTTATCTGTTCGAGTGGAGCCCAGCAGGTTAGTGGTCCGGGACTTGGGGGTACGGGGGCTCCCATGTGGGCGAGACTGTGCATGGCTGTGGGTGCTCTGGGAGAGCAAGGAGGGCGGTAAGGGTGACTTTCGTCGTGCACTCCATCTCACGAAGAAGCCTGCGGCGCCACCACAGGCTGCCCTGTCTCTCGCCTACAGTGCAGGAGGCCGGCGTGCAGCCTCCTTGCCGGGTCGGCCACCCCGAACCCCACTACCCCGGCTACCAGGACAGCTGCCAGATCGCGCCCTTTCCTGAGGCTGCACTGCCCACGTCACACCCCAAGATAGGTGAGTCTCTGTTCTCAGAGTAGTTTGGTTTCTGCTGTGCAGGGGATAGAACCACAGGGGCTCAAGTTCCTGGCACACTCTGCCGCTGAGCCATACCCCAGCCCAGAACTGCATCTCAGGAAGAAATTTCCCAGTACAGTGGACTCACGTGGGTGTGAAGCATGGGGTGGGGCTGGCAGGGTCACTAGGTGAAGCCTCTCTGTCCCTGCCCCTTTGTGTGTGACTGCTTTGAGCACGGAGGCCACTCACCACACAGATGGAAGTGCCTGGCCCAGAGCAGTCGCAGGTCTGGGAAGAGGGTGGTGTCTGCCGTCTGCCTTCACATGAGGACAGACCCTACCGCCACCCTGTCACAGAGAAACACTGCTGAGGGTAGAGAGACTCAGTTTATCTCCTCATAGCTCAGAGCGCAGCATCAACACTTTTCTGTTATTTGCACTGAGCTCCAGGCTTTGGACCTGTTTCTGTGTCTGCATCTCAAAGGTACGCGCAGTCGCTGAATCTCAAAGGTGTCAGGCAGACCCCAGGAACTGGCCAAAGCAGGCAGTGTGTGGGGTTATGGCAAGACCAGGGACCTCGGCCTGCAGGGACAGAGCCATGCTGTGGAGTCGGGCTGGGGACCAAGCAGATGCACTGCTCAGCCAGAAAACAGAAATGTGAAATGCGAATGGCCCTTTCTCTGCTGACGGCCAGCGCATGCTGCACTGTGTGTCACTGTGACGGGCAGTGAGGGAGGACACACTTTCCTGAGTTTGAAACACCTCCCCTTCCCAGCCCAGACTTCTGTTCTCAGGCTGTACTCAGATTCTACCTTCTCCAGGCTCCTGTTGGCCCCACCTGGCTGGGCACTGTTCTGCCCTGGGCAGGGCCATCCTGACGGCTCTGCTTGTTATGGGATCCAGTTCTCCTGGGCCGCTGAGAGCGCTGTGACACCTAGGGTATTCTGGTTGCTTCCTGCAGTGGAGGCATCTACCCTATTTGCCCCCAAGGCTGGATGGGTCTGGGGGTCACCAGTGCCAGGGAACAGGTCCTTCATCCTGAACTCAGTCCTCTACCCTTGTGGTCTTCCTGCCCAGTGCCTTGTCCTGGAGAGCTGTCCTGCAGGATGTCCGCACCCGGGGCTGCATATGGGTGCACAAGCCTCTGCCATGTGTCGGGTCAGAGATACCAGACATGGGGCAGGGCTGGTGAGAGCTTTGGGTGCCTCAGCTCTCGTCCGTAGCTGCGGAAGGTGACCTGGGCTCTGGCGGAGGACCTGAGGACCTGTCTCCCACTGTAACAGGAAGTGGCCATTGGGTCCCGAGGCCACGGAGCTGCCCTTCCTCATCGTACAAGGCTTCCTGTCTCAGTGGGTGCTGCCCGCTGTCATCCACGCTGCAAGTGCCCCAGAATTGGCCAATGGAGTCCCTGCGCATGGCTGGGCTCTGCCTGCCCTCGTGGATGCATCCTTGCTCTGTGGCCCAACCACTCTGAGTCTCCTAGTCCTTTAGGAACCTGGCCTTTTGGCAGCAGCGGGTGCTTCTGGTCCTGGGTTCCAGCTCTCATGCTGCCTCGTATCTCCTCCAGGCCCTGTCTCCTACCCACAGTAGGTGCCAGAGAATGACCTTCAGGGGCTTTTTTCCCCCAAGGGCTGGAAGTCAGTGTCCCAGTGCATTCTGGGTACAGGGCTGTGCCTGCCCCCTGCAGGTGGAGCATATGTGTGCACTGCACTCACAAGCGCACACACCCACCACTACTCCAGTCTAACCCCTTGGTTGCTTGCAGGCCCCCTTGCGTGTGTGCTCCCTGCTTCTCCAGTGGTACTTCAGCAGCATTAGGAATGTGATGTGGTGCTGGGTGTGGACATGAGTCCAGGCCAGTCCGGGCAGCATCAGGCTGTGTCCTTAGGGAGCCCATGGAGAAGGTGCCCTGACCTCCAGTGTCCCTCCCCAGTGCTCACGTCCCTGCCCGCCCTGGCCGTCCCGCCCTCCACCCCCACCAAGCCTGTCTCCCCGGCGTCTCTCAATGGGCTGGAGATGACGGAGCCTCGGAGCTGGCTCTACCTGGAAGAGATGGTCAACAATTTGCTTAACACAGCGCAGCAGCTGAAGACACTGTTTGAACAGGCCAAGCAGGCCAGCACTTGCCGGGAGGCCGCCGCGACACAAGCCAGGATGCAGGCTGACACAGAGCGGAAGGAGGTAAGGTGGGCACAGGCCCTGAGGCCTCCTTGCCCAGAGTGTTGTCACCAGCAAGGATTCCCTCAAGAGAGACCCCTGCCATTGACCCCATAATGGGGAGTGAGCCCAGGGCCTTGCACGCTGGGCAGGTGCCCGGCCGTGACTGCAGCCCGTGCCTCTCTGGCTTGTTTTTGTGCAAGATCTCAGGTAACGGATGGCTAATATCTCCCAGATGCTGCGAGGGTTTGGGATGGGGTCAGTTGGTGGCTTGTAGAGGAGGTCACAGCATCATCCCACACGGGCTGCTCTGCCTGGCATCACAGGGAGTATGGAGCAGGAGCTGGTGGGCGGGCCACAGGCCACAAGAAAGTTTAGCACCGGATTTTCCAGTTCTGGTGAATGCTGTTGCCTTCCACCAATCAGAGAGTCTGATCTTACACAGGGTTCTTTAATGTGGGGTGAATTTGTCTTCAAAGAAGAAAATATTTCCACTCCTAGAGATAGAGAAAGCTTTAGATACTTTTTTTTTTTTTCTTTTTGAGACAGGGTCTCACTATGCAGTTTAAGCTGGCCTTGAACTCACTTATGTAGCCCAGGCTGGCCTCAAATTCGCAACAATCCCCCTGCCTCAGCTTCCCAAGTGCTGGGATTACAGGTGTGTGCCACAATGCCTGGTGTTAAATACTTTTTTTAAAAGTACAATTCCAAACTAAGACCTACTCCATGCTATAACCTAGAAAACAGAAAAGTTTAAAGAAAACGAAACCAGTCATTGCTGTGCCAAAAGATGACAGTTAAGGTTTTCTGTATCCTTTTAGACTTGGTAAAACTAGATGTAAATTTTGTCTGCCAGAGTGCCTGGGTCTGAGCACGTGGCCAGTGGGCTCGGGTGAATGTGTTCCAGTCACAGAAGGATGCCTGCCTGGCAGCTCCTGGTCCTGTCCTGCTATCCCACCCAGACTCTGGCCCTGGATCTGCCATCAGCAGCACCTCTGACCCTGTGGGGCTTGGTGGTGCTACGTGGCTGCACCTTTCACGTCACTGCTTTTGTTCAGCATCCTTTTTCTGAAGCTTGAGGTTCATTTTCCTCCCAGCAGCCTCAGGAGAAAAGTCCTCTGCCCGAGCTGCCTTGGGGATTAGCCGAAAAGCCGGGATGGTGTAGATGTAGGGCTGTTTTATACTTTGACCTGGGTTGTTGAAAAATATGTTTAAATTTCTTTCTCTTTTCTTTGTTAATGTCTTTGAGACAGGGTCTAGCTCTGCAGTTCAGGCTGGCCTTGAGCTCACTTTGTAGTCCAGGCTGGTCTCGAACTCGCAACAGTCCTCCTGCCTCAGCCTCCCGAGTGCTGGGATTACAGGCATGTGCCACCTCATTTGACCTGAATTTTCAAACAGTTGAGGATTTTCTAGATTTCCTTTTACAGTTGATGCGGGTGGAGGGCGCTGGGGGTGGAACCCAGGGCCTCGCAGGGGCTGCGAGCCCTCTGCTCCTGAGCCTTACCCCAGCCCTTTGTGTATTTATGTTGCTGAGTTGCTGAGCTGGGCTTGAACTTGGGAGCTGCTCGGGGTGGCCTTGCCTGAGCAGTGTCTGGATGTCCACAGGCAGTGCAGGCCGAGGAGGGCCACGTTAGCTGTAGCAGAAGCTTTTTGAGACGTGGTCTCCTGTGTTGCCCAGGCTGGTTCCCAACTCCTGGGCTCCAGTGTCCTCTTGCTCTGTCTAGCAAGTAGCTGGGACCACAGCTGCCCCACTGTGCTGGGCCAGTGAGCTCGCGGTTCTGATGGGGACAACATGTCCAGGAGGCCGCAGTGTGAGACTAAGCCAGGGTTACAGAGACAACCTGCTGGGCCCAGTGTGGCAGCAAGGTAGCCGGTCCCACCTCGGCCTCGTGGTTGAGTCCCGGGGAGGGTGAGGCCCTGACACTGCCTTGCGCCTGGGCCTGGGCCTGGCCTGTGCGTGGTGAGCCTCTATCACCAAGACCACAGTGACGAGGTGGACACGCTGCTGGGCAGAGTAAGGCCCTGGGCCCTGGTGAACCAGTGGATGCTGGGCTTGGGCTGTGAGTCCTTGGGAGCTAGCTGTGTAGGCGTCTTGTGATCAGCTGTTGGCGTTGGCAGTGTCTGTCCTCCAGCGTAGGTGTGGTGGGCAGTGTCTTGGGATTTGGGGGGTGCAGGGTGATGAAGGAGCATGGGTGGCTGTGGGTGGGTACAGCACAGGTGGTTTCCCTTGCCCCTGTGAAAAGTGCCAGGTGGTTTCACTAGGGACTTCGTGAAGAGCTGTCTAAATGTCAGCTGCTTTCAAATGCATTTCCATCCTCTGAGCCTGAGGCACTGGAGAGCGCAGAGCAGGAGGATGATCAAGTGGACGGTTCTCAGCGAGCAGAGACCCCAGGTGGGGTCCCATGTCCAGGAGCAGGAAGGGCAGAGTTGGGCATTTACCACCTCGCTCAGGAGCCCCAGGAGACAGCGTGAATGAGGGCCTCACACTGTGGCCTAGACCTTTTATTTGGAATTTCATTTTATTTTATTTATTTATTTTTTGGTAGTGGGAATCAAACTCACGATCTCGAGCTTGCCAGGCAGGTGCTATGCCGCTGAGCTAAATCCCCAGCCCTGGAATTTAATTTAATTTAATTAATTAATTTATTTATTTATTTGTCTGTCTGTCTGTCTGTCTTTTGGAGACAGGGTCTCGCTATGCAGTTCAGGCTAGCCTTGAACTCACTTTGTGGCCCAGGCTGGTCTCAAACTCGCAACGATCCGCCTGCCTCAGCCTCCCAAGTGCTGGGATTACAGCGTGCACCACCACCCGGCTGGAATTTAATTTTAAAAGAAATAAATTCAGCCCAGTTGATATTAATGAGGGGATTTTTGGCAGTTTTAGTGGAAAATTTGCATTTGTGTGTGTGTAATTAGTTTTGCCATGGTTAAACAGGGCAGAAGAGCATATGTCCTTGCTGTCAGGGGCACAGTGCCCAGCAGCTGCCACTGAGTGGCCCCAGGGCCTTGGGTCAACTGCCATGGCCTGGCACAGGCCAACCCTGTCCTGGGCCTGTCCCTGTCCTGAGCCTGTCCCCACTGTTTCTTGCTCCTTCTCAGCCTTCTGGCTCCCTTCCCAGCTTTCTCTGTAAGAGTGAGATCCTGCTCAGCACAGGTGCCGGGAAGTGGTGGCCAGTAGGGTGACGCAGAGCCTCCCAGGGCTATGCCAGTCCCTGCGGTCAGGCAGAGTACCCTCTACTCCATGTGAACCCGATGCCCCCAGGCCTGATGGTGGGTGAGGAACACGGCCCTGCTGGTGTCCATCTCGGGAACTGGGGAGCTGACTGCTGACCACTCTGATGCCACTGCCTGTTCCCGAGTCTGGGGAGGTGGTCCTCAGAGCACCTGTCTGGGCAGCAGGGCGCTACCTGGACACACTGTCTCCACAGCCTCAGGAGGGAGGGGACTGCCAGTGACAGCCCCAGGCCCGGGACCACAGAAGGCCGGAGCACAGGGACGCGTGGGGGATGTGAGGAGGCCTGGCAGCCAGGGACAGGGACAGGGCTGGGACACAGGCAGATACCGGCTGCAGTGCCTGCAGACTGGCCTGGCGCAGGACGGGCTGTGGACTGGAGGCTGTCTGGGGTGGAGCTGCAGCCCTGGCCAGCTGGGGAAGGTGCCCTTAGACTGATCCCTTGATCGGCTTACCAGCCCCAGCCTCTAGGTGGACTTGGGTGTGGGAGTTTCCTGTTCCTCCCGCTGCTGCTCCCCGGTGACACAAGCCTCTCTAACTAGGGTGTGCCTTTCTGTCCTCAAGAGCAGGGGGCTCTGCCCTGCCCCAAGGGAGGAGCTCACGCCCTCCTGGCCCCCAACCAAGTCACCTTCCCCCATCAGATCCCTTCCTGGGCAGTTCCCAGGCCCCAGGCATTGGGTGGAAACAGCTCCACTTGCCATGGGCAGCTGGCTGGGGCTTCACTCAGCCATCAGAGGCCCTGGCTTCTGAGGTGAAGAGCCAAGGGTGAAGGGACAGCTAGCTGTCACAGAGACAGGTGTGCACCACTCTATGCCTGGCTCCTACGTTTTCAAGTTCAACCTTGGGGTTATTCCCAGGTTATTTTTATTTAAATAATAAAAACAGTATTGGGCTGGGCATATAGCTCAGCGGCACAAGCATCTGCCTGGCAAGCGCAAGGTCCTGAGTTCAATTCCTGATACAAAAAAAAAAGTATTCCTTGATAAAGAATTAGTAGGTCTTTTAAAAGGCGTGGTGGTGCACGCCTGTAATCCCAGCACCAGAAGGCTGAGGCAGGAGGATCCCTGTGAGTTCTAGACCTGCCTGGGCTACAAAGTGAGCTCAAGGCTAGCCTGAACTGCATAACAAAACCCTGTCTCAAAAAGACAAGAAGAAAAAAAAAGTGATTTTTTTAGGGTAGGTGTTGTGGCACACAGTTGTAATCCCAGCATTCGGAGGCTGAAACAGGAGGATTACCACAAATTTGAGGGCAGCCTGGGCTACAGAGCGAGACCTTGTCTCAAAAATAAATAAATAAATGTGATTTTTGGTTGTTGTCCTTATTCTCCGCTGGGACCTTGCCCTTTCCAGACAGGACCCTGCTCAGCCATGCCACTGGGCTATATCCCTAGCCTCCATTGGTTCTTGAAAGAAGGTGGTTAGGCTGGGTGTGGTGCAGCACACTTGTAAATTCAGTTACTTGGGAGACAGACAGGAGGATCTGGCCAACTTAGCGAGACCCTGTCTCAAAATAAATGAGGGCTGGATGTAGCTTGGTGACAGTGCACTTACCTAGCTTGCAGAAGATGCTAGGTTCCCCCTCTAGCAGTGCGAAACAAAAAAAGTAGAACAAAAGCGGCTTGGTTCCCACTCGTACTTGTACTGTGTCCCCTCTTGGCCAGCGGTGCTGACAGTGATGTGGCCCACTTGGCTGCTGGTTCTTCCCAGTGCCGTGTTGGGAGTTGACACTCAGGCCACGCTGCATGCCGTGCACATGGAAGTCCCTTGCGGTGTTGAGTGGCAGGGCCTGCGTACCTCTTTTCGAGTGCCAAGCCTGGGGTCTCCATGCTCACACTGCAGAACTGCGCAGCAGTTGAGGTTGCTGGGGCTATGGCCTTCGGCCTGAGGCTCTTCTGTGTTCCCAGGTGACCCGCGGGCAGTCACCTGCCCGTGCCTGGAGGTGTGGATGGAGCGTGGCTCGGGAACCACATTGAGCTTTGTGCTTCTGTTGTCCCCAGCTGGGTTTTCTGTGTAACCTGGCGGACAGGGTCCTTGTGGTGTAGACTGCTGCAAGTGCAAGGCAGGAGCAGGGTCTGGAAGACGGTGCCAGGGAGGGGACGTATCGGAGGCCAGTCTGTCCCTGCGTGGTCTGTCCCTCGAATCAGGCCGCTGATTGCCCTGTTCCTCCTGCAGCAGTCGTGCGTGAACTGTGGCCGGGAGGCCCTGAGCGAGTGCACTGGCTGCCACAAGGTCAACTACTGCTCCACGTTCTGCCAGCGCAAGGTAGGTGCTGCAGCCGGTGGGACCCCCCCCCCCCCGTCCCTTCATGGTTGGTCGCTGCGCCTGTTGTTCCTCAGGAGGCCCCACAGCGGGCGGCCTGGGGCTCCAAGGGCGTCCCCAGCACCAAGGCACCATCTGAGGCCGGCAGGTCAGGTAGAGCCCCACAGAAATGATGGTGCACAACCTGCTTGTCCCTCAGCTCTTGGGTGTCAGGAAATTAAACGTTTTTCTAGACCTACAAATTCTGTCTCACACCCCTATTTCTTACTTCACCCTCCCTCAGGGACAGTCAGGGACCTATCGTCTGTCTGTTCCTTTGGCCGTCCGGCATTTCCCAGCCAGGAGTCATCCCGTGGCCTTGGTATCTAGCTGTTGCTCACTGTGCTTCTGGGACTCCTCCCTGTCGTGGACCAGCCAGGCTTCACCTCTCTTGTTGCTGTCCAGTCACATTGCCCTGTGTGGTGGAGTGCAGCTCACGCGTGCACACCTCAGGCGTCACCTCTGCACTGTCCCCGGCCTGGCTGGAGACTGTTGGAAGGACACGTGTCTCTGCGTGTCAGGGTGGACACCTGGGAGGGTTTTCGGGTCCCATGGTGAAGGTGTGTTCAGGGTTATGGAGAAACCTCAGTCTGTTGTCCAAATGACATTCCCACAGCATGTCGGCTCTGTCTCCATGTCCTCACCAGCATGGCTCCTTTGGTCACGGCTGTTCTATTGGTGATGTGTGTCACATTGACGTGACTGTAGCCATCTTGGGTCGTACCCAGGAGGAGCACCCCAGAGTGACCTTAGCTGGTATTCCCTGCATAGTTTCTCAGCAGACCTTAAGGAGGTAAAACCATTATGTATGTATCATCTGGAAGCCCACACCCTCAGCATCTTGCAGTAGGTTGTGTCCTTTTTGTCAGTCGGTACTCTAATATTAGAGTCACAGGTGCAGCTCTGCAGCTGGACCCTATGCCCCACTTCTGTCAGTAAGTCCCCAATAAATTGCTTTCTCTGTGGTCTTGGTTCTGGCTGCCTCTCTAGTTTCTCACACCTGAGGCTGGTCCTCATGCCCTGGGACTAGGTGGTTACAAAACAGGTGAGATTTGTGTTGGGGTGAGTTCTAATTCCCGTTTTCCTAACAACTCATAAGCCTGGGCATCTTTGGTACATTCACTAAGCATTCATATATCGTTTTTGGTGAAATGTCTCTTCAAATCTTAGCTTTTTTATTTTCAGACAGGGTCTCATGCAGGTCAGGCTGGCATTGAGCTCACTATGTAGCCCAGGCTAGCCTCAAACTCCTAGTAATCCTTTTGCCTCAGTCTCCTGAATACTGGAATTACAGGCATGTGCAACCATGCCTGGCCTCTTGCCTATTTTTTAAGTTGGATTGCTTCCTTTCTTTTTTTTTTTGGTCTTTTTGAGGCAGGGTCTCTCTATGCAGTCCAGACTGGCTTTGAGCTCACTATGTAGCTCAGGCTGGTCTCGAACTCACAACAATCCTCCTGCCTCAGCCTCCCCGGTGCTGGGATTATAGGTGTGCGCCACCACGCCCGGCTGCTTCTTTTCTTATGGAATTTAGAATCCTATATATTTTGTATATAAGTTCTTTATCACATATATGCTTTGCAAATATTTTCTCTCAGTCTATGGCTTGTCTGTGCTTTGTTCATTTATGGTTTTGGTGCTAGAGATTTGAATATAGGGCTTCACACAACCCAGCCCCTCCCTTTTCTTTTTGGTACCAGGAAGAACTCATGACTTCGTGCTAGCTAGGCAGGGGCTGTGCAGCTGAGCTATATCCCCCTTCCACTTTCTTAATGATGTTTCTTTTTTTTTTTTTTTAAATGATGTTTCTTGCAGGGTAAAAGTTTAAAATTCTGATGGTGTCCAGTTTATCAAATTTTTTTATGAGGACAGTGCTTTTGGGCATTGTATATTGGGACTTTTGGTGTTGGACCTCAGGAGTTTTGTCTAACTCAGGGTTGGGAAGATTTTTTTTTTTCCTGTTTTCTTCTAAAACTTTTGTTTTTTTGTCTTTTTGAGACAGAGTCTCACTATGCAGTTCAGGCTAGCCTTGAGCTCACTTTGTAGTCCAGGCTGGCTTTGAACTTGCAACGATCCTCCTGCCTCAGCCTCCCAAGTGCTGGGATTACAGGCGTGCGCCACCACACCCGGCTTCTTCTAAAACTTTTATAATTTCAGTTCTCAGGTTTAGAGTTATGATAGGTTTTTTTCTTGATGGTAGGAGGAGGAGTTCAAAGCCATTTTCTGCAAGGAAATATCCAGTTGTCCCGCCAGCATCTGCTGGAAAGGTGACCTCCCCGAGGCGAGGCTCTGTCGAGTGCTGACTGCAGGAGGGAGGTTGCTTCTGGAGCTGGCTCTGCCCACGGACTCTGTGCTGCCTCCATTACTGTTGCTGCAGTGTGCTTTGCAGTCAGGAAGTGAGGCCTCTTGCTTTATTCTTTCTCAGAACTGCTCTGGCTATCTTACATTTTCTATGCATTTTGGTATCAGCTTGTCACTTGGTGGAAAAGGCTTACTGGAAAGAGTCCCAGCCTGACTGCTGAGTCTAACCTGTGAAGACAGAGTGCCTCTGTTAGGGTTTTGTGGTACCCAGCACGCCCATCTTCTCTTGCTGGCTTCCTTCCAGAGCTGCTTATTGGTGGGTGCTCCTTTGGAGTTGTTTTCTTAGTCTCGTTTTCAGATGCTTACTGCAAGGGTACAGGAAAACATTTTTGTGCTGTGTGGTTTCATTGGGGCCATGTCGCCTCTGAGTAAAGATTGTTCTGCCTTTGCAATCTAGGAGCCTTTTCTTTCTTTCTGTTTCTTTTCTTTTTTTTTTTTTTAATTGTGCTGCTACACCCTCTAATCTAGTGCAGTGCTGAAACATGTTAGGGGCAGAAACTCCCACCTTGTTCTCCATCTTAAGGGCAGACAGTTTGGTTCTTCATCCTTAACTGTAATGTTGCCTTAGGTCTCTTATCGGTGGAGGGGCTTCCTTCCATCCCCGGTTGAGTTGCTGTTGCTAATGCTGATGTACCCTGTCAGCATCTACTTCAGTGACCTTCGGGGGTAAAGGCAGCCCTGCCTGCCTGGGAAAATCCCTTGGTCATGGGATACCATCCTGCTCATTTCTGCTTGATTTGTTTGTAACTTTGTTGAGGGTTTTCGGTGTCCATATGTGAGAGATGGGTCCACATTCTACCCTCAATATCCATCTGGCCTACAGCTATGTCAGGAAGTGGTGCGCCTCTTCTGAAAGACTTAGGTGATCACTGCTGTTTCCTGCCAAAGGTTTGTTGGAAGCCACTCACAAAACCAGCCAGGCCTGGACTTCTCTGTGGAGTAGCCTGAAGTTAGGTTCTGTTGCCTCTTGAGTCGGTGTTGGCAATACACAGCCTTCTGGGAACCTGTCCGTTTCTTTAGGGCTGTTGGATTTGTTGACATCAGCATGTCTGTGGTGCTCCCTTAATACCCTTTGGATTTCTTTGTGGCCACTTGTAAGGCCTCTGTTGGCAGTGTTGGCAGCAGGGACTCGTGTTTCACAGCTGGAGCTCCAGGTTTGTCCACCCTCAGGATCTTAGCAGTGAGCCAGCTCTTGGTTCTACTGTTCCCATACTGTTTTCCTGCTTCCCGCTTCCCTGACATCCGCTCTGCTCCTTCCCTTCCTCCTGCTGTGCTTGGTTTGCTCTTGTTTTTCCCAGTACTTGGGATGAAAGTTTATGTTGCTAACTTGGTGTCTGTCTTCTTTCCTAATATGCACATTTAAAGGGGTGTACTGTTCCCAGTACACCACAACCCTAGCACTATCATGCACAACTTGATGAGTTGTATTTTCCTTTTTATTCACGGAGCGCTAGGGTGTAGCTCAGGGTAGAGACCATCTAGCATGCTCATAAGCTGGGCTCAACCCCCAGGAATGCAAAAATAAAATGTGTATTTTGTTTGTTTGTTTGGAGACAGGGTCTCAGTGTGCAGTTCAGGCTGGTTTTGAGCTCACTTTGTAGCCCAGGCAGGTCTAGAACTCACAAGGGTCCTCCTGCCTCAGCCTCTCAAATGCTGGGATTATAGGCATGCACCACAACACCTAGCTAATTTTTTTGTTTGTTTGTTTTCCAGTATCAGGAAATGAACTCATGACCTTGCACTTGCCAGGCAGGCGCTGTGCCGCTGAGCTAAATCCCCAGCCCCTAATTTTTGTTTTGAGACAGGGTCTCCATATGTTGTCCAGGCTGGCTTTAAACTTGTGATCCTCCTGCCTCAGCCTCCTGAGTAGCTGGGAATATAGACGACCCACACCACAGTGCCTGGCTGAGAATCTTGTTTTTAAGCCCATCCTGGTTGTTGTCTGATCCAAAACAGAAACCTCAGGAGTGTGGAGAAGGCTAGACCCCAAGAGGGCTGGAGCAGGAGTGGGGAGCACAGGTGCTGGGAGGATGTACCTTGGCCCAGCAGCTCTGGGGGCGAAGGCCTGGGCACCCTCACCCAACCCTGCCACACCACGTCTTGCTCTGCCCCAGGTGCTGTCCCACCCCCTGCTACGTGGCTGTTGTCCTTACCTCCTCACAGGACTGGAAAGACCACCAGCATGTGTGTGGTCAGTCGGCAGCCGTCACCGTCCAGGCTGACGAGGTCCACGTGAGCGACAGTGTGGTCGAGAAGGTCACCGTGTGAGCCAGGCACTACTCTGCCTCCCACAAGGCCGGAGGCCCTGTGGACCGTGCGACGTGGAGGGGACCAGCAGGAAGCAGCTGGTGGACGGGTTCCCGCAAGCTCCAAGCCACGGCACCCTTGCACATGGGCTCCCCACCCGGAACGCCTGGACGGGACAGACCAGGTCCCCACCCCTCACGGTGCTCTCACCTGGATCGTGGGCATGCGGTCCCCACGGTGTCCCTGTGCTGCAACACGTGTACATACGTGCTGTGTCTGTTGATAAAGTTGTAAATAAAGTCCCCACCCGACCCAGCGCCTGATTCAGGCTCAGACAGCCAGAGGGGTTCTGTCCTGTTTGTCTTACGGGCTGGTAGCAAGAATCACTGTCCATCACAGCAGAGCCTGGCCTCAGCGTTTCTTTTGCTGACCCCAAGCAGGGCGTCCAAGAGGACATGACATCTGTGTTGGCCAGCTGTGGCTAAAGAAGGGCATTCTAGTCCTTCTGTAGAGGAGGTCACATGGTAAGGTGCTTCAGGTTGAGCTGGCTCCACATCCTCTGCCCAGTGACCCTGGTGCCCGAGGTGGCCCATTTAGTGCCTAGGTGGCCATGCCCAGGACATGGCATTCCGGTCATCTCTGTGCTGTGCTCAGGAGCAGGGCTATGGCCCTGGACACATTTGGGTGTCGGTGACCTCCTTTGCTGACATCAGTGCTGCTATGTTCTGGAAGCTTCCCCAGCTTTCCAGCCACACTCTCCTGGTGCCACCGGAGTGCTTCTGTCTGCTGGGTTCCCGCAAGAGGCCTGAGGAGACAGCTGGACTGGCCTGGCGGAAAATGGTGTCCACTCCTGTACCTGAGGCTCCTCCAAGCCCCCAGGCTAGCCATGGGCAATGCCCATGGCAGTGGGTCCAAAACCCAGGGGTGTGAGCCTCCAACGTAGGCCTCCAACCTCCATACTGGGGGTTTCTCCTGGAGTCTTGTCTGAGGCTTGTTTGGGGGCATCTGCTCTGAAGACCAGCCTGAGGCCCCTCCCCATGCTGAGCCTGGGGTCTTCATACCCAGGTGGCCTGTGGGCTAAGTCCGGGGCCCTCACGTTGGCCTGTCCATAGGATGGGTGGGCTCTGGCGGCTGCAGCTCAGACAGGGACCTGGTCAGCCCTCGTCCCCAGCCAGCCAGGCCAGAGAAGCTGCTGGACATCTGCAGGGGGCAGGGCCTGGCCACAGGGTTTGCAGCAAAGGCAGCAGGAAGCCACTGGGCAGGCCATGGGCTGCCCAGGTCACCACTGGGCAGAGGGTGGCTCCTTGGGGAGGTGCCCACGGCCTCATGCAGGGATGGCCTCATGCAGGGATGGCCTCCTGGAGTGGATGTTTCCTGGGCTTGAGAGCATCTTGCCCATCCCCTTTTCTTTAAAAGAAAACCGGTGGGCCTCACGCTGGGGGTTTGTCCTGGAGGCTTGTCTGGGTCCTGGCCTTGGCTCTGGGGTGCAGAGGCTTCCAGCAGCTGCCTCTACCTACAGAGCTGCTCAGCAGGGCCAGCAGGTCCTGGGAAAAGCTCAAGGGAGCCCCAACCCCCAGTGTCACCCCTTCCCCGAGAACCTGTGACCCAGTTCTTGCCTGAAGGGTGACAAGTGGCTCTTACTGGGTGCCCCTGAGGCCATGAGCAGGGCACATGAGCGTGGGGTGGTGGCTGCACTGCCCAGGGAACTTCCTGATGAGGTGGTGCCCTCAAGCCATAGACCTCAAAGTCCCTAGTTTCTTAGTGGCCAGCGGGGGACTTGGTGCCTCATGCCCCACCAGGGTAGTCTAGGGACCCTGGCTCTCCCAGGACCCCCCCCAGCTGTGGGTAGTGAGCAGTGGCGGGGGCCAAAGGCAGTGGCACAGGGCAGTGGGGTTCCCCTGCCCAGCCTCTCCCTGCAGGGCTCCCCTAAGGCCCCCCACCCCTTCTTCCCTCCTGGAAGAGCAAGGCCATGGGGTGGCTGGGAAATCACCCTAGGCAGAGCCCCCTCCCCACCTCACTGCCCACCGCCCACATCCACACGCCATGCGTCAGGAAGCAATCGGTTTAATCAGACCAGCGCTTGTGCCCTCCAGGCTGGGCTCCATGCCCGGCGCTCGCTCAGCAACCCAGGTTCAGCGCCTTGCGGAAGACGGTGCGGAACTCGGCATTGAAGACAGTGTAGATGACGGGGTTGAGGGCACTGTTGACGTAGCCCAGCCAGGTGACGGCGCTGACCAGGCGCGGGGGCACGGCGCAGGCGGGACACAGCGCGCGCGTGATGTGCACCACGAAGAAGGGTGTCCAGCACACCAGGAAAGCCCCTGGGGAAGGGCGCCATAAGCAGGCGCCCCGGCGCCCGCTGAGTCTGGGTCCTCTCCACAGCCCTCCCCGCGCTGCACCATGCCCCATCCTCTCCCTGCTCCGCCCCACCCGCCTGCCCTTCCCCCGTCCGGGTTGGGAACCCACCGACCACCACCGGCAGAACCCTCATGGCTTTGCGCTCGCGGCTGGTGATCTTGGCGCGCCGCCTCCTGCGGGCGTGCGGCGGGAGCGCCCCTTCGGGGATGGCGTCCAGAGCGGCACAGTCCTCGCTGCAGGGATCCCCGGGGAGGCCCGGCGCGGGATCCGCACAGTCCAGCGCGCGGGGCAGCTGGGGTGCGGGGTCCGCAGGGTCTGTGGCGCAGGGGAGCTCGGGAGCGGAGTCCTGTGGGTCCAAGGCGTAGGGGAGGCCGGGCGAGGAGTCCGCACGGTCCGGGGCGCGGGGGCCCCCGGGGAGCTCGGGGAGCGGGGGCGGGCCGGGGCCGCTGGGCCGGCGGGGCACCTGTGCGTGCAGCTTGGCGCGCCGGGCAGCGCCCCAGCGACGCAAGCCACGGAAGGTGGCCCAGTAGAGCAGCAGCATGAGCGGGCAGGGCAGGAAGAAAGAGCACACGGACGAGTACACCACGTAGTCGCGGTCTTCGAGGCGGCACACGGCCGGATCGCGCCCGCGCACGTCGTTGAGGCCGAAAAGCACCGGCGCTGCCACCGCGGCGGACAGCAGCCACGTGGCGCCAATGAGCAATAGCTGACGCCGGCCCTGCCGGCCGTAGCTCAGCGGCACCGTCACGGCCACAAACCTGCGGGGCGCGGACGGGCGCGCGGTGAGGGGCGGGCCCAGGGGGCACATCGAGTAGCGGGGCGCGAGGCATAGCGGGGCGGGTGGGCCGGAGGCAGAGGGCGAGGAGCAGCGGGCCGCTGCGCCCACCTGTCCACGCTGATGGCACACAGGTTGAAGATCGAGGCGGTGCAGAGCATGACGTCCATGGCCATGAGCGCGTCGCAGAGACGGGGGCTCAGGAGCCACTCGCCGCCGTGGACCTGCGAAGCCAGGAAGGCGCAGCAAGAGACACAAGACCTGACATTTCCAGCCACAGCCACGCTGCGACTTCCTACCCGCCACTGTTTCAGGGACCAGGGCATCAAGGGAAAGGGCCCCATCTGAGCCTGAGGTGTCTGGGAGCACCCACTGGGCCTCCCTGCCAGTCCTCCTTGTGTTAGGACCGCGAAGCCTCGAGGAGACCCTGGGGGTCTGATGTCATCGCAGCAGAGCAGCCCCGGCCCTGCTGGGCCGGAGGGTGCCCCTGAGTCGCCCTCCCCGGCCGAACTGCCTGTTTCAGCCCTTGGGACAAGTTGCTTCACTTTTCCCTCCTCCGAGATGAGGGTGGTGACAGTATCCACCTGACAACTGTCCTGAGGACAAATGAGTGTAGCCATTACAACGACCTCAGCACAGCACCCAGTCCAGGATCATGCGTGGCGCTTCTCCCCACAAGGGCAAAGAGCTGGCCAGCCGCCCCTCTAAATCCCGCTGATGGGGGCGATTAGCGCTCAAGAGCCATCATGGTGACGTCCGTGCGCAGCCTGGGAGCAGCCGAGGTCAAGCGCGTCCTTGCTGCAGGTCCCGCCTCGGTGTCTGGACTCAGGTGTCCACCTAGAAGCCGGCGTCCCCTCCCCCACAGCGCAGGACACCGCGTCCCAGCCCAGCGCTTAAGCGGCTTTGCTCCGGCCAAACCTCGGCGCAGAGGCGTGGGCGCCACAGTGGGCGCGCTGGAGAGCAGACCCGGCCCGCTCGGCCTCCCGCGCCCGCTCCCGCACACCGTCCGTGCGTCCTCCCTGCACCTGCACTGCCCGCAGCTTTGTAGGGTGCGCGGGGTGGGCTGGCGACCGCCTGAGGGGTCGTGCGTGACCGTCGCGCACTCCGTGGTGTCCACACCCTGGGGCAGCGGGGGCGGGCAAGCCTGTATCTGCCCGTCCGTCCAGCTGATGAGGGGTGGCACTGGACGGGCTGAGTTGCCTGTTTCTGGGGTCCCTGGCTGAGGCCAAGAGCGGGGAGGTGGCAGAGGGTCAGCAAGGCGCCTGGGGAGGCGCGATCAGGCGCCCTGCAACTGCCCGGGCTCCAGCTCCTGAGGCCACGCACTGGGTCTCGGCGGGGGCGGCGAGGGCACGGGGTCGGGGCGGCGAGGGCACGGGGTCGCAGGAGCAGGGCGGGCGCCCGCTCACCTCCGAGTAGACGAAGAGCGGCAGCACGAGCAGCGCGAGGAGTAGGTCGGCGGCCGCCAGGCTCAGGATGAAGTAGTTGGTGGGCGTCTGCAGGGTGCGCTCGGAGGCCACGCTCAGGCACACCAGCGAGT